TCTCGTCTCTCTCGTCTCTCTCTCTCTCTCTCTCTCTCTCTCTCTCTCTCTCTCTCTCTCTCTCTCCTCTCTCTCTCTCTCTCTCTCTCTCTCTCTCTCTCTCTCTCTCTCTCTCTCTCTCTCTCTCTCTCTCCTCTCTCTCTCTCCTCTCTCTCCTCTCTCTCTCTCTCTCTCTCTCTCTCTCTCTCTCTCTCTCTCTCTCTCTCTCTCTCTCTCTCTCTCTCTCTCTCTCTCTCTCTCTCTTTCACGTGCGGCTAATACCGTCCACCCTGCCTAATTTGTCCTGAATTTTTGGCAAGCTCGTAGCTACTTCGAAAGGCTTGATTCTCTTATTTCTAAATATGTTGGTATTATGAGGATGCAAGTGTTCATGTGCTATTTCCGGTATTTTGCGGTGGTGCTCTTACGTTATGAGGTAAACTGTTGCGTTGATATTTGTAACAAAAACACTGATGGTCATTTTTATTTTTGACCAAGCCTAAAAGAGGATTTTTTTTTTTTTTTTTTTTTATGAGGAACTTATCATATCCCTTGACATTGAACACCAATTAATTACCAATTAAGGTGTAAAATGTACATTTGGTCAGTCCCGATTGTACCTTCGTCAGATATACATATATATATATATATATATATATATATATATATATATATATATATATATATATATATATACGTACATGCATACAGTATTTATTCAACTCTGAGCTGAGCTGAAACGGAGTTGCTTGTCACGTGACATTGTAAGAGTCAGAAACACTTTTCATATTGGTCGTTATTGTCTAACGAAATTGTTTACATATAATGTGGGCCGTTTCATAGATGTCATTTTGTTTTCTACTTTTTCGGGTGTTCTCATTGGGACTTCAAGAACAAGAGATAAAGAGAGAGAGAGAGAGAGAATGAGAGCAAGGGAAGGAGAGAGAGGAAGGAGAGAAAGAGAGATAGTGAGAGAATGAGAGGAAGGGAGGGAGAGAGAGGAGAGGAAGGGAGGGAGAGAGAGGAAGAAGGAGGGAAGGAGATAGGAAGAGAAAAGAGAGAGAGATAGAGAGAGGCGAAAATAGAAAAACAAGGTAGAGCAATCGGAAGAGAGAGAGCGCGCGAGAGAGCCCCGACGAAAGAAGGGGGGGGGGGCAGGGCGTCCCAAATAGCCCAGCGAGCGTGCCCGGCGGGGCGCGGCGGGCGGGCGGGGGGGGGGGGGGGGGCAACGTGGAGGCGACCCCGGCGAACATGCGGCGGTGCCCGGGCGAAGGGGAAGGGGGGGGAGGTCGCCTATGGGTGGCGCATATGAAGGAGGGTCGGGCGAGGGGAAGGGAGGAAGGGAGGCAAACACAAGGGCTGCTTTGGGCTTGGCATCGAGGGGTCTTCTTCTCGGAAGGCGCGGCTCGAGGAGCTCTTCCGCGTGGCACCGAGCCAAGGGCAGGGGAGGCGAGGCAGGGGGGCGGGACGGGGTTTGCCAGCCGTCGCACCAACACAGCTGGGAAATGCTTTGAATCAGCTGATGCTTGATTGCAGAGGCCATGCGAAAAGGGCCGTAGAAGTGAGCTCAGTCACAGCTCAAAAGTGACGATGCCAGAATATAAGTTGGTCCTGAGATACGCTCGGGCCCCTTCGGGTGAGGGGGAGGAGGCGGTGGCACCGGTGGGGTGGGGGGTAAAGGGTGCTGCCCCAGCGATGCCTACCCGGCCACTGGGGCACCCATACTGGTCCCCGGCCGCGCGTCGGGAGGACCAACGGCTCAAAGCGTTCTGCGACCGACGTTGTGTTGGAGCGCGGAGGAGCGCCGTGTGGGGGAGGGCAGCGCAGACCCCGCCCAGTCTCACCTGACTGCTGCACTCACGCCCACCTCCGCCCAGACACTTACCTCAAGAGGCCTCAAGACAACCTGGTCAGACCTTAGACCGCGCCCAAGGATCGGTGAACCGCAGTGCCCCGCGACGCCCGAACGCAGACTCCCGAGGCAGAAGAGCCTCAGTGCCGTGCCTGTTCGCAACCCCCAGTGCCGCGAGAAGAAAGCCTTTGAAAAGAGAAAAGCCAGTAACAAAACTCGGTCGCCCCAGGACTCAGAAAAGAAAGAAAGAGAATCCGTGCTTGCGTTTGTGCCTCCGAAATCCTCGCTCGACTCATGGATGGTATCGTGAGGGCGATTCTCGATGGGTTCCTGTACTCGGACCAGCCCCTCCCTGCTACGGTATTTGCATCTCTCCTTCGGTAGTTGTGTTTTGTGCTGCGTTTTCCCCTCTGCCCTCTAATCCTCCCCGGCCCGTGGCGGAAAGGGGAAACGAGCCAGCCACTCCTCGCATGATGATGAATCCTTTGTTATTCATAGTAAGTGTCCTTTTTCGAGATACGGAGAGTAAATGTTTTTTTTTTTTATTTTTTTTATTATTATTATTTTTTTTTTTTTGTGTGTGTGTCTTGTGAAAATGTTGTTGTTCATTCGTGCGTTGTTTGGTATCCCTCGTGGTATACATTGTGTTTGTCTTGGCACCGTGCTGTGTTGTACCATGTAATATTTAACGTTTCTACAGAATACGTTCGTGTCCTAAACGCCATTCGTCTTGTTATGTCTTATCACACGATCACATGAAAGCAGCAAAGAAAATACAACCAACCAGACGCTTCTTTATTTACACAACCGAAAAATAAATCATAGCATCACCATACCAGAAAACCCCATACCAAAACCCCCTTCCACCACACCCAAGCAAATCCTACCAAGGGGTCATTGCCACCACCTCCCAGGAGCCGAGACGAAACGGGGTCAGCATGCCACCCCAATCCTAGGTCAGACGCGGAGGCAGAGGAAGGGGGCGTGGCTTGGAAACCTGTGCCGCTTCTCCCGCCAGGAATGCCATTCGCTGTCGTTCCGCTGCCCTGAATTTCATGCAGACAAGACGTTCCCCTTTTCTTCGGATGTACGCCTCGCCTTGGTGCATGGCTGGACGTTCTTTTCTTTGTTTTTATTTTTTCCCTTCGGGTTGTTCCTTTTGATCAGGTCCACCACTTCTCTGTTCTTGTTGTTGTTTTTATTGTTTTTATTATTATTGTTGTTGTTATTGTTATTATTATGATAACAATAATTATGATAATTATGATATTGATAATGATAATCAAAATAGTAATAATAGTAATAATGGTAATGATAATAGTCATAATTTTGATAACAATTGATAACGACGATAATGATAATAATTATTATAATCATTATGATTATGATTGTTATTATTATTATTAAAATCATCATTATTTCTATTGCTATTACTGTTATTATATTATTGATATTATTATTATATTCATCATCATTATTATTATTATTATTATTATTATTGTTATTATCATCATCATCATCATCATCATCATCATTATTGTTATTATTGTTATTAGCATTATTGTTGTTGTTGCCTTTACTACTGTTGCTGATATTGTAGTTGTTGTGGTTGTTGTTCCTCATATATATTTTAAAGGAAAGGAGTTTCTGTGCATTTCCCTTTAGACGTGAATATTAAGAGCATTGATATGTAATTATCAATATAAAAGTCATACAAACTTTAGCATAATTCTTCCAATCGTCTGTGTTGCGTTTTCTTCAATAAACCATGCGCTGTATAGAATAAAAAGTTCCATCTTTTTTGTACAAAATATGCACCATATTTTCGTAATTTATATAGATTATTTGCACTCTCACTTTTACATGATTATACAATTTTACATTTTCTAAAACAAATCTGATAAATCATTCCTTTTGCATAGAAAAGCTTGATAGAAAGCAAATGTAACTGTGCTATTATTAAAAATTTTATCTGTATATCCTAAACTTTATTACCTAAAATCTAGCACCATATAATCACTAGCCGCATATAGAAAGCCGCATATAGAAAGACTTTGAATTAAAACGTCAATAGTAATAACAATTTCTCCTCTACGCAAT